TATAGTACAGGGTCAACGACGAATAGTTAGGAAAAAGAAAGAAACCCCCCCCTTGAAAGAAACCCCCCCTTGAAGCTGTAACAGTGTTGACATTGTAGGTGTCATTTGCCCAATTGGAATCAGTTCTCACATTTCCAGGATCCTCATGGCCTGGGCCATGGTGAGTGTGTTTGGCTGTTCCTCTGTCATGTTGTCTGCTGTTGCAGTCTTTGAGATTGAGCATCAGGTAGATGCCTTTGTCATTTTTAGTACCATTTTGATTGCCTGCATCTCTGTAGGTGTCAATGGTATCACTGACCTCAGCATTGTTTCCAATGGTTTATTTGTGGCTCCCTCTGTTCTCAATTGTCTATATTTCTCCATGCCCTGAAGACCATCAGCCCAGGAGGACACCACATCAAACATCCCCTCCTTTAGGTCATTGAGCATGGGAAAAGTTTCCCGAGATGGTGGTAAGAAGCAAAGAGGAGTCCCCCTCCCTTAGTTCAATCTCTTATAGCCCCATGTATATGGCCTCTCGAACTGAATAAATGTATTTGTAAGGCATCCCAATGGGCGAAAGCCACCGGGACACTGCGTCATGCCAAAAAACTGTATTTTCGGCTTGTCCAACTGCTTGTCAAATCGCAAGACCAAACCGTAGCCAATTAGTCTCTTCATAAATACTCAGATTGGGTAGATCTTGTATTTTTTTCATGGAACGCGTAAGCCTTGTCATCCGACTAAGCTGCGTTATCGAGTTGAACTTGAGCTGATTACCGCAAACTGTTGGATTACGCACGACTGTGATCAATGCATGAGTCACCCAGCTGCCTTTATGCTCTGACTCGACGTGAGACCCTAATAGACTCGTCCTCTGTTTCGTCGACGGCTTCTGGAAAAGGAAAGGCGGAGTACGAAGCCGCAGAACGCGTTCTGATGAACGACAGCGGAGCTGAAAAGTCAAAGTGGCTGGGTACGAGCCTAGTGCGACCCGGCACCGAGGTACTCTCCGGACATACGCCGATGCAGTGCTGTGGTACATGTGAAGCACAACCTGAAATGTGAAAATCAAACGGCCGGGGAAATCTCCAGTTCGCCATTCACTAAGTTTAGACCAAGTGTGTATTATTTGCCGCCGTCGTCGAATTCGCACTTACGGTCGTGACTCGTCACCGCAGCCTTGTATGTGCCAAAATTCCAGAAATAGTAAATCCCGCCCTCGAACAGCCTACGCGTCGTGCCATGGTGCTGGGTGCGACCGAGTCAGTTACGTTCTAGTATCGTCACCGCCCTGCGGAAGGGTCTCGCTTCGAGTCATCTCTGTCATTCCGTGTGGCATGGATATAGTGTCCGGGTTTTACGCCCATAGTCGAGCCTATCAGGTGTTCCAGTCTAATCGACGATAGTGTGGAGGTCGTTGCTGCCATGATCCATCAACCCCCTAGGCGCCACGACAACGGCCTGATGGTCATATTTAACTCCAGTGTGAGCAGATATTGACTCGTAGACACAGCCGAGTCATTCAGGCACTCCCCAGCTTTCGTACATTTACATCTTCAGCACCGTATGGCGAAGTTCATCCCGGACTTACCGCAGGCTGTTCTTGCTCGGCATGAAGGCAATGACTCGCTCTTGATATTCGGACTCATTGAGAGTTTACCGGCGCAGTGAGTGTTCTGGCTGCTCGAAAAATGACACTGATGCAGAGACTTCATCTAGTCATAGCGTGGACTACCTAAACACATTCTTTTTCCCCGCATATGCGGTGACTGCGTCTGTCATCATAGCATCCCTCCATGGTCTCCTTTTACGCGTCAGGGCATCAAAATCCCAAGATATTGGTTCTGCTGGCGTTTTACGGGCTGACAACTTAGCAGAAACCAATCCATCCACAGTCGGACGCCAGGGTGGCATGGATATTTTAGCCTTCAATATTGCTCGGGCCCTCGCGTGCTTCGCTTTGCTGAGCATGTCTCTGTACTCAGTAATTGCTAGGAAGCCTGTGGAAACGTATGATATCGGCGTAAGCACGATCTGGCCTTACATTGGGCTATGTGGAACTTTTGTAAGTGTCTTATTTCATGAGCATGATATCGGGTATCAAGAATCACATAACAGATCTACACCCTTATGTTGGCCCTTGTGACTGTGCTGGCCAAACCAGCGACAACCGTAATCGCTTCTCGTCATCTCAATGCCGTGTTGCTTACCGCTTGGGTGGTGTATATGTATCGAGATGTCTGGCCCCTCGTAACGTTTACTCTGACCCCTATGGATGGTGAAGAAGGACGTTTTCTGTGGGCCAAAGTCGTCACCCTCACTTTTGGAGCTGTGATGGTCCCCTTACTCGTACCACGGCGTTATGTTCCTGTAAAATCTAAAGTAGCTATTTTCCCTCATATTCTGGAGAAATTTGATTTGAACATTTTCGATTCAGGGTGCACCAACGGAACCGAGTCCTGAACAGACTGCATCTCTACTATCCGTCATACTGTACTCTTGGTTGGATAAGACCATCGTTGACGCCTATCGACTTCCTCACCTGCCTGTTGACAAGTTCCCTCCGTTAGCTGACTCGGATCAATCCCAATATTTGTCTGCGCAGACATCTAAGGTGCGTTCGGTGATTGTATCATTAGGCAGAGTTTTGATGATTTACTATTCAGGAACTGGATCCGTTTCAAATAACGAATAAACGGAGACATATAGGCTGGGGACTGATCAAGATATTCCGTAGGCAGAGATTTTCCCTCTAAGTTTGCTACATTTTTAATCTGGTTATAGACTGGGAGATCTTTGCGATGATTTGTGCGATCACAGCGAACGTGAGTAAAGGATGCATCAAGGTCTTGTTGATGAATGCTGACAATGAACAGACATTTACACATTTTTTGAGCCCTCTAGGGATTAAGAACCTACTTCTGTACGTTATCCATTTTCAATTGCTCACTCAGAGCGAATTAACAAGTGACCATAGATTTATGGAAACCGGAGGATCAGGTGCCACTGTGCGCCCGTGGATATGGGCATTGTCATTGTTCTTGGGCCCGTTCCTGAGTGCTGCCACCTTGTCAATGTACATGCTGCCCTGGGTAAATTCATTTTGTCATCACTCGACCAATCTTAGCTCATAAATGACGCCAGACTACCGTTCTAACTCGCACCGAAGCGATTCTTACCCACCTGGTTTTTAACCATGCGCTGCGAATGCGGATGAAGGCTGAAATTTCAGATACACCGATGAACGAAGTCTCAGCGAAAGGAAAGCAAAAGCCAAACGATACGTCGTCGGCCGGGAGTGGTTCTAATAACAGGCAGAAGCAGGAGAACGCGACCGGAAGGATCAATAATCTCATCACCTCGGATCTTGGCTCTCTCGAACATGCGAAAGATCTCTTACTAATATGTAAGCGGGGTATAGAACGAGTATACCAGCTTCTTCTGAACAAGGTTGTTAGTATTGGAGGTACCTTTGCAGATTATTTTGAGTATTTACTTCCTCTATGTTGTTCTCGGATGGAGGTCAGTGCCTGTTATTTTATCGCTGTTTTCATCACTAAATTTTGTTGTGTAGTGCCTTTGCTGGGCTAGCCACTATCGCTATACTATTCCCCATCCCAGGGAAGGTTGCAAGCTATATCAAGAGTGCCCAGAAAGAGAAAATGAAACAGGTAAATCTTCACTTCTTAGCCCCTTTCTGCCTAACATATACTCCTGCTAGACGGATGCGCGAGTGCAAAATGTCACAGAGTGTATGCATTCTTAAGATCAATTGCGTCTTTTCTCTGAATTCCTGTCGCCAGCTATTACTGTGATCCGCATGATTAAGATGTTCGGATGGGAACCGAAAATGGTGGAACAGGTGACCGAGAAAAGAGAGCTTGAGCTGAAGTGGCTCAGGAGACATCGCTTGTTGAGACTTGC